TAAAGGTGAGACAGTATATCATAACTAGAGCCCATACAACCCAGAGGCAGGAGCTGTTAGACCCAGACTGGTAATCAGCTGGTAAGCAGACAACCTTGATGGGAGGGGATGAAAGATGCTTGTAGTGCCCTCTCAGTACTTGCTATTCACTTCCAGATTCCATAATTAGTTATATAACTGGATATTTTCTGAAGCTAAGTTTGTCTGTACTTAGGAATTTGCATTCTGTCCTTTGTTACTTTACCCATCCTTTGTCACCTGGCCCTAGTAGAAGCCTTGTCCGGCAATACTGGGAAAGAACTTCTGACTTCCTGCCAGGTTGTGATAACGTTCCCACAGAGATGAATAAGTAGACTTGTACAAAGTTTCTGCCTTCCAGGGACTTTCAGACCATTTGGAGAGATCAGATATAAACATGGATCACTTATATCATTAAATTGTTATATATTTCTCCAAATTTCTAGAATGACAAACCTGAGCCTTGAGAATAATGAAGTTGTTTCTTTATTTTTTTTAATTTTTATTTATTTATGATAGTCACACACACAGAGAGAGAGAGGCAGAGACATAGGCAGAGGGAGAAGCAGGCTCCATGCACCGGGAGCCCGACGTGGGATTCGATTCTGTGTCTCCAGGATCGCGCCCTGGGCCAAAGGCAGGCGCCAAACCGCTGCGCCACCCAGGGATCCCTGAAGTTGTTTCTTTAGAAATGAATCTGTCATAAAGACATATCCTAAAAAAATCTGCCTTCACCTCTTTCATGCCCTGTTAATGTCTAACCAAAACAAAGCACAGACTAGTATAGCCACTTAGCTACTAAAGTATAAGATAGGATTTAACTCCCTGTGCTTTTGCACAACTTTTGGATAAATCATTAGTTAGTAATTTTAACTTTAGTCCATAGAGATGTCATATGGAATTCTGACATTACCTGGGACTTTGAATTCATAAATCAGCATATTAATTGTACTCATTTTTTTTTTTAATTTGAGAGAGAGACAAAGCATGAGCAGGCATGGGGGAGAGGAGGAAGAACAGAGGGAGTGGGAGAAGCATACTCCCTGCTGAGCAGGGAGTCCAACTCTGGGGGCTCAATCCCAGAACCCCAGGATCATGCCCTGAGCCAAAGGGAGATGCTCAACTGCTGAGTCACCCAGGTGCCCCAGTATTTATATTTTCAAACATACTATAATAAAAGTTACAGTCATATAATAGAGTCCTGGGGTCAAAATCATATCATCATAAAATATTTTAAAATAAAGTTTAAAAAATGACAAAAATTCCAAAAAAAATGACAAAAATTCCAAAATTCCTGTTGCAAACTGAATTAAAGCTTAGTTTCAAATGCTTGGAGGCAAGATACCTGTGGTGGAGCTCCATTCCTCCCACAGTTTCCTTGAGATACAACTCTGCTTCACATTGTCATCCTCACAGAATATTTATGTATACATATAAAGACATAGGTAATATATTTATACACAATATTTAAATTTTGTACTGGTCAGAAAGATTCATCTGATCACTGCTTCTCAATTTATGTGCACACAAATCACCTGCGGATCTTTTTAAAACACACATTCCGATTCAGTAGGTTTGGAGCAAGGCTTGAAATTCTGCATTTCTAACAGGCTCCCAGGAAGTGCCAGTGTGCTGTCTGTGGCCCACACTTTGAGAAACAAGGCCTCAGGTAGCCCTGTCACCTGTGGGTATGTGTAAACCGCGACTTGGTGCCACAGCAGAAAAGATTAAAAAAAAAAAAAAACTTTCCTTGGATGAAATGAAAATTAAGTCATCATACTACCCAATTCCTGATATAAATGCTTCATGGAGGGGCACCTGGATGGCTCAGTGGTTGAGCATCTGCCTTTGGCTCAGGTTGTGATCCCCAGGGTGCTGGGATCAAATCCCACATCAGGCTCCCCACAGGGAACCTGCTTCTCCCTATCTATGTCTCTGTCTCTGTCTCTGTCTCTCTCTCTCTCTGTCTCTCATGAATAAATAAATAAAATCTTAAATACTTCATGGAAATTTTTCATGACTAAGGAGGAAGGTGAAGTTTCATTACAAATTAACAATAAGGGGCACCTGAGTGGCTCATATCCGACTCTTAATTTTGGCTTAGGTCATGATCTCACAGTGGTGAAATTAAGCCCCATGAAGGGCTCCGCTCTAAGTGTGGAACCTGCCTAAGATTCTCTCCTCTCCCTTACCCCTCCTCCTGTTCCTCCACCCCACCCCTCCACTTAAACACTCTCCCTCTAAAACAAAGAGAAGAAAGAAACAAAGAAAAAAATGAACATTAACATTTTTAATGATGCAGGCTATGGTTGAAATTCCTTACAGAGAATTTCATTCGCAAGGACAGGCTCTATTCAACAAGGCTGCTGTAAAGCTGTTTCTTCATTCCACATCTCAGCCTACAGGAACAGCCCTTGGTTAGTGTGTTTACAATCAATAACTCTCTACAACAGGTGTTTTCTTTGGTATTTGTCCTTGGTGCAGTAATAGAAGTAAAGTAACGTATATATATGGTTTGAACTCTAGGCAGGGAACAAGATACCTTATATTTCTTTTGCCCCAACCTCAAGAAATTATTTTCTTCATTCCTCCTCATTATGTTCCTTTTTCATATCTAAAATTCTTCCATTTAAAAAATATCAATGAGGGGATCCCTGGGTGGCTCAGCGGTTTAGTGCCTGCCTTTGGCCCGGGGCGCAATCCTGGAGTCCCGGGATCGAGTCCCACGTCAGGCTCCTGGCATGGAGCCTGCTTCTCCCTCCTCCTGTGTCTCTGCCTCTCTCTCTCTCTCTATGTCTATCATAAATAAATAAATAAATAAATAAATAAATAAATAAATAAATAAATAAATAAATAAATAAATAAATAAATCTTAAAAAAAATAAAATAAAATAAAATAAATATCAATGAAAAGAAAACACAGGGGCACCTGAGTGGCTCAATCAGTTAAGCTTCTTCCTTTAGCTCAGGTCATGGTCTCAGGGTCCTGGAATTGAGTGTGTCGTGTCCCCACCCCAAAAGCATCCCACCATTGGGCTCCCTGCTCAGAAGGGAGTCTGCTTCTCCCTCTAACCCTCCCCCCCCCCGCTTATGCGCGCTCTCTCTCTCAAATAAATAAAATCTTAAAAAACAAAGAAAGAAAAGAAAACACAAAGATCCTGGAACCATGAAGAGGAAATGGATAGACATACATAGACTGCGCCTCTCACCTCCCCGCCTTTCTTCCTCAGTGAAAAGTACTTTTCCTTAGGAATTGTGGGGAGTTTGGCCTTTTGGCTTTGCTCTTTCTTTAAGACTGGGCTCTTCCAAATAAATAAAAATTTAAAAAAAAAAAAAAAAAGGGATCCCTGGGTGGCGCAGCGGTTTGGCGCCTGCCTTTGGCCCAGGGCGCGATCCTGGAGACCCCGGATCGAATCCCACGTCGGGCTCCCGGTGCATGGAGCCTGCTTCTCCCTCTGCCTGTGTCTCTGCCTCTCTCTCTCTCTCTCTCTCTCTCTCTCTCTCTCTCGCCCTCTGTGTGACTATCATAAATAAATAAAAATTAAAAAAAAAAAAAGACTGGGCTCTTCCTATCTGCTTTTTTACCTTTAAGTTCTTTTGAAAGAGGTTTATTTGCATATTCAATATGATGCCAGACACAGATATAATAGAAACCAGGGAAGCATAGGAAAAAAAAAGAGGGAGAGGGAGTGGTCCCAGTGTCCATGCTGATATTTAAAAGTGAGGGAGAGTGAATAAATGATAGAACAGAAGGGTTGGGCTAGGAAGAGGAAAAAATCCTTGACAACTTTTTTTTTTTGTCTTTCCAGCTTGTTATTTATTAAAAATAGATTCTCTTTCCCTCACCCCTGCTAGCAAAAGGGTCTTGCCCAACATTTTTTTTCCAAATAGATGAAATAACAGATTTGGGGGGGGGGGACTCAAGCCTAAGAGCTCAGGCTTTTCTGGGACAGGGGGCAGCAGGCCTGCGGAGCCTGGAGTGGAAGGGTTTACGGCAAACCCCAGGACACGAACAGGGACCAGAGCTCTGCTGCTCTAGGCCTCACGGTGTGCAGACAAGGCCACGAGGAGAGGCCCAGGGCTGCACCGGTGCCTCCTGGGCATCACCAGAAAGCTGTGTTTGATGCCTGAGAAAGTTGACAAGTGAGTGTGAGACATTGCAAGGGAGTTGCACATGGGAAAGCTTAATGTTAGAGGGATTTAGTGGGATGTAATCTATTAGGGATTTATTGCCTATAGATTTATCAAAACTATTTTTTTTAACTAAAATATGTCTTCGGTCCACATGGACATTTTAAACTTTATCCTCCTGGGTAAAGTCACTGTACCCTCCCCATCAGCCTGGCTGATTATCTCCACCTCTAGTCACATAAATGCACTGTGCATACAAGCCTAAGTATTGCATTTACCAACCCAGTCCTGTAAGGATTGAAATGTCTGACTCTCTTAAGAAGCTGAGGATAGAGACTATGTTTACTCAGCTTTGTGACTATGGTGTCAAGCAGGATGCCTTGGCATGGATCAAATATTGTACAAAACCTTTCTTGTATAAACAAATACCACATGGATGAATGTTCAGCACTCATCGTACAGCTGGACTTTTAACTTTTCCTACAACAAAATTAAAAACTTTATTCACAACGTGTTAAAAAATGACATTCAAGGGGTGCCTGGGTGGCTAAGTCGGTGAATATTCTGACTTTAGTTCAGGTCATGATTCCAGGATCCTGGGATCCAGCCCCTACATGCTGCTCCCTGCTCAGAGGGGAGCCTGCTTCTCCGGCTCCCTCTGCTGCTGCCCCTGTTGTGCTCTCTCACCCTCGCTCTCAAATAAATAAAATCAAGAAATAAGTAAATAAAAATATTGAAAACAAAGTAATATTCAAGTTATGGGATAAGAGTATCATTTAGTGCTCTTAACTGAACGACTGTAAGCTCCTCCGGGAGGGAACATACACATTCGTAGGATTATTTCTGGAAGCGGCAGAAGGGCAAACCACTGAGATGGACCTCACTCCTCCCGGCTGCCTAGAGACGCCCCGGAAATGCACCCGGGGGTGGGCACCGCAGGGAGTCGGTGACGCACTTCCGCCCTGGTTTTTTGAGTACGTTTTTTGTCACGGGTCGAGGCGGGCTATGGGTGGAATTCGTGCGGGCGGGAAAGGTGTTGGAGGGGACCCGGCGGGGTAGGGTTGGGACGGGATAGTCAGGATCCTCTGTTCTGGGGAGGTCCGAGGAGTTCCGGGGTTTTTTGCAGAGTTTGCCGTCCTGTCACCTGAAGGCAGAACTCCGGGAAAGTCAGCACGCGCCGGAAAAGGATGATGAGTTCGAACTTGACCGCGAGTCAGGTCCGTGACGCCGAGTCAGGAGCCTGGATGGCAGCCGCGAGGTCTCCGCATGATGGACTTCTGATAGTGAAAGTGGAGGAAGACTCCCCCGGAGGTCAGGAGCCCGACCCGCCGGGGAGCTGTCAGGATCCCGAAAAGTCGCGACAGCGTTTTAGGCGGTTCCGGTACCAGGAGGCGGCTGGACCCGAAGAGGCGCTCAGCCGGCTCAGGGAACTTTGTCGCGGGTGGCTGAGGCCGGAGCTACACTCGAAGGAGCAGATCCTGGAGCTGCTGGTGCTGGAGCAGTTCCTGAGCATCCTGCCCCAGGAGCTTCAGGCCTGGGTGCGGAAGCACAGCCCGCAGAGCGGGGAGATGGCTGCGGCCGTGGTGCGCGCTATCCAGGGAGCGCTTGTTGGGGCCTCCGCCCAGGTGAGGAGTGAACGTGTTCTGGTGGCGTGGGTGTAGGGAAGAGAGGCGTGCCGGATGCTCTGAGTTTCAGACCTTCCTTCCTTACATTTTGTCTGAACTTCAGGATGCGCGTGAAATTTTCTTTCCGTAGGAAACAGTGACAAGTAAATACAACCAGGATCCTCGAGTTATAGACCTCTGTGCACAAAACCAACGTGGGAGTATGGTCTATCCACTGTAAGACACCTTCTTGTCTAACTAGATTATTTGAGGGAGAAAGATGTCAAATGGAAAGTGATATCATGTCATTGATTACTTAGGCTAGAACAGCAGTTTCCTGCCACTTTGTTTTACTTTTTTTAGGGGTTTGGCGACCCCCTCCTCCTACAGGTGATAATGGAACTATAATGGAGTTAACTGATCATGCCCATGTGATGAAGACTCCATAAAAAATCCCAGTGGTGTGAAATTCGGAGAGCTTCCAGTTGGTGAACACATCCATATACCCAGAGGGTGACAAACCCCAATTCTGTGGGGATAGAAGCTCCTGTGCTCCAGACACACACACCCCCAAGACCTCACTATGTATCTTTATTTGGCTGTTTATCTGTATCCTTTATTATATCTTTTTTGTAATAAACTGGTACACATAAGTGTTTCCCTACTCTGAGCTCTTCAGGCAAAGAGTTGAATTGGTAGGGAGAGGTCATAGGAACCTCTGATTTGAGGGCATGTCGGACAGAAATTGTGGGTAACCTGGAGATCTATTAGTTGTGATTGGCTTCCAAAGTTGCAAGGGGAGGGTAGTCTTGTGGGACAGAGCCCTTAACTTGTGGGATCTGACTCTATCCTGGTAGATAGTATCAGAATTGAGTTAACCTTTAGGACACCCAGCTGGTATGAAAGAATTGTGAGAGGTGTGAAAAACCCCTACATCTGGTATCAAGTGAGGGAAAATGGTAGTGAAAGTATTCAGAGCATTGAGAGCAGAAGAGAGGCGCAAGAGCATGATTTTCTTTTACAAAGAAGCAGAGGAAAAAAATTTTATTATACTCAGATCTTAGAAACAGGAGACACAGCATGACATTCAGAGCTTCCTGGGAAGGACACCAGGGTTGTTCAGAAGCAGAAAACTGGAGCAAAGGGAAGGTTTAGGCCAGAGCCTCTACTGAGGTTTCCCAGATAGACTAGGCAGGACCAGGGGAACAGTTTAGGATTGGTTGGTTTGAATAATTTCAACAGGCTCTAATATATGGGGCTTGTCCTTAGTTGGCTGATACCTGGTTGTAGGATGATTAAGGCAGAGGAATGTTTCCTCCTGGAGCGTACAGGTCAGGTAGAGGAGGTATGGCTTGAGATTAAACAGTCTTGACTGAGCCTTTTGTTCTAAGAATTGACTAGCCCTGGGAAGGGCCACCTCTCTATCCAAAAAAGTTTTTTTTTTAATTTTTTTTTAGATCTTTTTTTAAGATGTCAAAACATAACATACAGAACATTTTAAAATATATTTCCCTTTCCTTTTGTTTAGTGAGAGATCCTTGGAGTCAGTTTGTGACGTGTCATCGAAACCTAGACAGACATCTCCCCCACACCAGTATTAGAACTTTCCCTTCCTAAGAACTGTGGTTTTACCTTCTGTGAATGGTCAACTTACATTTATTTTTTTTTAAAGATTTTATTTATTTATTCATGAGAGACACAGAGAGAGAGGCAGAGACACAGGCAGAGGGAGAAGCAGGCTCCATGCAGGGAGCCTGACATGGGACTCCATCCAGGTCTCCAGGATCATGCCCTGGGCTGAAGGTGGTGCTAAACCACTGAGCCCCACGGGCTGCCCAGTCAACTTATATTTAAATAAGCTATCTCAAAAGATCATCCTGTTGGATAATTATCTTATTGTGCAGTGGTCAAGGGAAGCACCTGCTGTCAGTAAGCTACTTTCATCTTAAATTATTTGTTTGCTTTCACACATGGGGTAACCGTATCTCAGTGCTGGAATTTGGACTTCCTGGTTAACTATATTTTTCATTTATGTCAGATTTTCCATTTTGATAAATCACAATGATGTAATTCAAATGAAGACTTTGCTCTTTCCCCAAATTAGTGTAGATAGTCCACAGAAGGGCTTTTCTTTTTTTTTAATAAATTAATTTTTATTGGTGTTCAATTTACCAACATACAGAATAACACCCAGTGCTCATCCCGTCAAGTGTCCCCCTCAGTGCCCGTCACCCATTCACCCCCACCCCCCGCCCTCCTCCCCTTCTACCACCCCTAGTTCATTTCCCAGAGTTAGGAGTCATTATGTTCTGTCTCCCTTTCTGATATTTCCCACACATTTCTTCTCCCTTCCCTTATATTACCTTTCACTATTACTCATATTCCCCAAATGAATGAGAACATATACTGTTTGTCCTTCTCTGATTGACTTACTTCACTCAGCATAATACCCTCCAGTTCCATCCACGTTGAAGCAAATGGTGGGTATTTGTTGTTTCTAATGGCTGAGTAATATTCCATTGTATACATAAACCACATCTTCTTTATCCATTCATCTTTCGATGGACACCAAGGCTCCCACAGAAGGGCTTTTCAAGTTTGCAAGAGAATTTCAGCCTCTGTCTACTTTGAAACTCCAGTCAGTAGAAGACACTGGAAAAGACTTAATAGCCATGACTGTTACTTGATTCCTAGGGCTTCCTGCTCAGTGGTTGCAGACTCCTCTGGAGTCTGGCCTCATCCTGAGATTAGTGGTCACTTATGCTGTCCCAGGACAGCAGGTGCTGAATGGAGGTCTCATGTTGTTCCAGGAATTGGTGAAGGTTGAGAATGTGGCTGTGTCTCTAACCTGGGAGGAGTGGGACCGTCGGGACGCAGCTCAGAGGGACTTCTGCCTGGAGAGCGCACTGAAGGATTGTAGAAACACAGTCTCGCTGGTCTCACAGAGTAAGTGCTGACTTTGTTTCAAGCTGTGTGTGATTTGTGGAGGGCTTGACCTAGAACCATCTATGAGCCACTCACACACACAGGTTGAGAGCTGTTAGAATCTCTTTTGTGACCCAGCAGGACCTTGCTCTTCTGGATTGTTAGGTGATAAGTTCAGCTTTTTTTTTTTTTTTCTTGGTTCATTTAAATAAAACACATACAGAAAAATATAATGGGCACCTGTGTGTCTACCACTGGGGTTTATCAAATTTTAATATTTGGCCATACTGGCTTCATTCTCCCCCCCCCCCAACAAGTAATGTTAACAATTATAGGTGAAACTCTGGGTACCCTCCCTGAAGCTGTTCCCCTCACTCCCTCTTCAGAGGTAACCAGTATCCTGATGATGGTATTTATTTCCATGCCTATTTTATATTTTTTACACGTACATATGGCTACATGCACACAAGTTATTTCTCTTTATATAAACAAAAATGTGTATGTAAACATGTATATGAACATGTGAATACGTAAACCTGTAAACATATATATTATTTTTAGATGGTATATATATGCCTGTAGGATTCTTTTGTATCTTGCCTTTTTTTTTCCAACATTACATTTTTGAAATTTATCCATGTTGACACACGCAGCTCTAGTTCATTCATTTTAATTCTTGTGTATCTCATTGTATGAATAGTTCAAAATTCATTTATCCACTGTCCTATGGACATCAAAGCTTCTAGTTTTTCACTGTTATAAATAGCATTATATTGAACATTCTTATCATTCTGTGTTCATATATGGAATTCCTAAAGTTGATAGACTTAGGCATATTTGTCCATCTTGCTGTTCAGAGGACTATAAGCACTTTGTTCTCCTACCAGCAATATAAGAGAATTCTTTCTGTACATCCTAGTCAACATTTGGTGTTCCACTGATGGTGTGATATAGTAACACAGTAGCTCACATGTTCTTTTTTTTTTTTTTTTTCATGTGTTCCTTTTAAAACATTACATCACACCTCTGCTCAGAACCTGCCATGGCTGGCTCTTTCTTTCTTTCTTCCTTTCTTCCTTCTTTTCTTTTTCTTTTTCTTTCTTTCTTTCTTTCTTTTTCTTTCTTTCTTTCCTTTCTTTTCTGTTTTTCTTTCGATTTTATTTATTTATTCCTGAGAGACACAGAGAAAGAGAGGCAGAGACACAGGCAGAGGGAGAAGCAGGCTTCATGCAGGGAGCCCAACATGGGACTCTATCCCAGGACTCTAGGATCACCCCCCAGGCCGAAGGCAGGCGCCAAACCCTGAGCCACCCTGGGATCCCCGGCTCTTTATTTCACACAGAGTAAAAGCCTAATGTGACAAGGCCCCATTGCCCTGCCCATTCCTCTCCTACTCTGCGCCTTGTCACTGTACTTTAGCTCCACTGACCTTGCTGCTCCTTGAACATGGTGGGCATCCTGCCTTGTGTTTTTTCTCTGTTTGATGCCTCCACTGCACAGACTTCCTGACTTGTTTCAGGTCTTTGCTTAGCTGTCAGTCTTCAATGAGGCCTGACCTAACCATCATGTTTAATACTGCAGTTTGCCTTCCACTGTCTCCTCCCACTTCCCACACTGCTGACCTATCCCTTGCCTTCTTAAACTTGGTCCATAGCATTTATCATACCCTCTGACTTCTTCCATAATTTATTTTGTGTTTATTTTACTGTCTGAGCACCCCTTCTAGAATGTAAACTCCACAAGGTAGGAGGGGTTATCCGTTTGGTTCTAATATATCCCAAGCACTTGGAATAGTGCTTGGCACACAGTAGGTGCTCTGGTATCTTATTGTTTTAACTTGCATTTCCCTGATTTCTGCTGGGTTAAATATATTCAGATTTTTGTTTTGGACATTCTGTTAAATGCCTGTTTATATCCTATTTCCCTTCCTTTCCTGTGTTTTTTTTTTTTTTTAATTGCTTTGTGGCAGTTCTTCGGTTTTTTTTTTGTTTGTTTGTTTTTGTTTTTTATTTATGATAGTCACACACAGAGAGAGAGGCAGAGACACAGGCAGAGGGAGAAGCAGGCCCCATGCACCAGGAGCCCGACATGGGATTCGATCCCAGGTTTCCAGGATCGCGCCCTGGGCCAAAGGCAGGCGCCAAACCACTGCGCCACCCAGGGATCCCCAGTTCTTCGTATTTTTTATATTAACTCTGTTTTTACTGGTTATATAAGTGGCTTTTCTTTTTTTCAATGACATCTTTAGTTATGTAGAATTAAAATTTTTTAATATATGGTTGACGTATATGCAGGGGTTAGGGGCAACTACTGGCCACCCCCCATGGTCAGAAATCCGCATAAAACTTTTAACTCTCCCAAAACCTAATTACTCCTAGCGTACCATTGACTAGAAGCCTTATGGATAGCATAAACAGCCAATTAACACATATTTTGTATGTTACATGTATTATATACTATATTCTTACTATAAAGTGAGCTAGAGAAAATGTTCTTAAGAAATCATAAGGAAGGGATCCCTGGGTGGCGCAGTGGTTTAGCGCCTGCCTTTGGCCCAGGGCGCGATCCTGGAGACCCGGGATCGAATCCCACGTCAGGCTCCCGGTGCATGGAGCCTGCTTCTCCCTCTGCCTGTGTGTCTGCCTCTCTCTCTCTATCTCTCTCTGTGACTGTCATAAATAAATTAAAAAAAAAAATCATAAGGAAAAGGAAACATTCTTAGAGTACTGTACTGTCTTTACCAAAAAATCTGCACGTTAGTGGGCCTGCACAATTCAAACCCTTGCTCTTTTTTTTTTTTTTTAAGATTTTATGTATTTATTCATGAGAGACACAGAGAGAGAGAAGCAGAGGGAGAAGCAGACTCCATGCAGGGAGCCCGATGTGGGACTTGATCCTGGAACTCCAGGATCATGCCCTGAGCTAAAGGCAGACGCTCAACTGCTAAGCCACCCAGGCGTCCCTCAAACCCTTGTTCAAGGGTCAACTATGGTCAGATTTTTCAATCTCTTATTTTGTGATTTGTGTTTTTCCAGTCTTAGGAAAATACCAGGCCCTTCTCAATCCTGATCCCAACTTTGCAGAGACAACAACTCTAAAATTTTTTATGTGTCTTTCACTAGCATTTATTTTCATATTTCTAAATAGGACACTTATTGTGCAATTTCAGATATTATCTCTTGACTGTCTACTGAGGAAGACAGGAATTAGGTCTCTCCAACATGCACACATTTAGCTGTCTGTAATACTGTCATAGTTAAATCAGTCCTTTTGTACTTCAATGTATAATGTTTCAGTGTTCCACCTATAAATATATTATCTATATTTACTCACATAGCTTATATGATTATATGTTTTTTTATTTTATAACTTTTAATTTTCTCTGGAATGAATAATGCTTCATTTTGCATGCACTACTTTTCCAACTATTGAACACTGGCTCACCCATAGGCTCCCTGTTAGAAATGCAAAACTATGTTCATGTGTATCAGATATGCCATCAGTTTCATTCTCCCCTTGGAAGAATCCTCCAGAAGCTGCTTCTGCTCCAATGTGAATGGCCTTGTCTCCAGGCCTGTTACACAGCTGTTGTCCCAAAAACCTTTCACTATCACCCTGGAATTCCTTTTCTCTTTCCTGGACCCCATCATTTTCATCCTTGGTTTACCCACCTCAATTTGTTGGAGAACATCTTCCAGTATCTTCCAGAGAACATACACTTGGGAACTTAATTTTTTGAAAGTTTGCAGGTCTGAAAATGTTTCTATTCCTCTCCCACATCCAGATCATAGCGTGGCTAGATTCCCTATTAGAAATGATTTTACCAACAGGATGCCAGTGTGGCTCAGTTGGTTATGCAAAACCACAGCCCTGAGATCAAGAGTCACAAACTTCACCAAATGAGCCAGCCAGGTGCCCTTTGCAGAAGTTTATTTATTTATTTTTATTTTAATATCCCAATAGCTTATTTTTGCTTTTGTTTCCCTTGCCTCAGGAGACATACATAGAAAACAACCGATTCAGATAAATTATTGCCTGTGCTCTCTTCTAGAATTTTTATGGTTTCGGGTCTCACATACATTCTCAGCTGTGCGTGATGCCCCCCAATCCAGAATTTATCTGGTTCAATCTCCCTGGGATGTAAACTGCAAAAATTCTGGTTTGGGGTGGAATCTGGTGGTTTAACTGCTCTTTTATAGACTTCCAGTGCATCTTAGATTTGTCTCCCACCCAGACCCTAC